CTTCCTTCCTTCCTCCTTCCTTCCTTCCTTCCTTCCTCCCTTTCTTCATTTCCTTCCTTTCTTCTTCCTCCTCCTCCTCTTCTTCTTCATCCTCTTCTTCCTCCTCCTCCTCCTTCTCCTCCTGCTCCTCTTCCTCCTCCTCCTCCCTCCTCCTCTTCCTCCTCCTCTTCCTCATCGTCCTCCTCCTCCTCCCCCCCTCTTCCTCCTCCTCCTCCTCCTCTTCCTTCATTTTCCTTTCTTCTTTTTGATGCATTGCTAATGCTCCATAAATCACATGAAACACTGGTATTTGTGACCCAAGTCTGTGCCTTGACCCTCTGTTGTTTGGAACTGCTCCTGCTTGCTGTTCTGTCTGGCAGATGTAGGACTAGACAGAACAAGGTCTGGGGCAAGCAGGGTGGGAAGGAAGGTGAGGGTCTGGCCAGGGAGTTTGATCGCCTGTCCTAGGAGAATGGCAGGGTCAGCAGTGTCTACACCAAGATTTCCCTTGGAGTCAAGGTGAACTCAAGGACATGAGAGGAGAGGAGCCACCAGGAGCCTAGGGCAGTTTGTCCTTAAGCACTGCATCAGGCAGAATGGTCCTGAGGACAGCCTCTAGGGTTTCTACAGAGGGTCTCCAGGGCTACTGTTGCTAAGAGAACCTGTAAGAGACTATGGCCCCTCAAACTCCACTCTTTCTGTAGCACGGAGGTGTGGGGGTGAGGGGTTCAAGGCATTTCACCAGAATCTACCATCTTTTCAAGTGCAGGGTCACATATTCTATAAACATTTGTTGGAAGACAGTAACTGAACTGAGCATAGTGGCCCACACCTGTCATTCCAGCACTTGGGAGGTAGAGGCAGGAGGATCAGGAGTTCAAGGTCATCCTTGGCTCCCTAGCAAGTTTGAGCCTCCCCTGGGCTACATGACACCCTTTCTCAAAAATAATACAAACGAAACAAAACAAAACACAATAACTTAGTTCATCAGGGCATGTATGAATATATTCTGGAGCCTGTGGTTCCCAAAGGGCACACTCCTGACAATAGTGACTTCTGGAGGTACAGGAAGGTGTGGATTACAACGAGTGAATTAGTAAAGGGACTGAAAAAAAGCCAGCTCTAAGATTCCTAAGGGGACGTCACAGTGGGACAGCGCTTCCACTCCCAAAGGGCTACACCTGTTTTTCTTATCAGACAATTGACATGGACTCAATGTCAGGGATTATCGAGGCTTTTGAAACAGATGATGGCTTTCAGTTTTGAAAGCGATCCACTTTCTATTTCTGCCAGGCGTGAGCATTGAGCAGCCGTATTTCTTAGGAGTTTGGTCCTCGTCTGTTCTGTGTCCCTAGGGAGCCTTCTGTCTTCTACTGTTCGACAGAATAACTCTAATTTGTCTCACTTCTTTTTTCCTCCCCCAAGTTCTTGAGAGTTGACCAAGACAAGGACAGAGACTGCAGCCTGGACTGCCCAAGTACTTCTCAGAAGCCACTCTGTGCCTCAGATGGAAGAACCTTCCTGTCCCGCTGTGAGTTCCAGAGGGCCAAGTGTAAAGACCCGCAGCTGGAGATCGCCCACCGTGGGAACTGCAAAGGTGAGCAGGGATGGTCACAGTAGGGGAACAGAGGCCCGTGTGCAGAGTATGCACGTGGGCAGCTCGCTTTCACATCTGCTAAACTTTCACGTTTAACACTTATAAGTTTCATGTCTCAGCATGTGAAGAGTAATTTTTATTAATTTCAAAGTAATCATCTTTTTGAGACAGGGTCTCATGTAGTCCAGGTTAGCCTAGAACTCACTGTGTAGCTGAGGATGCTCTTGAACTTCTGATCCTCCTGCCTCCACCTCCGGAGTGCTGGGATTACAGTTCTGCACCACCACACCCGGTTTATGAGGTCCTAGGGATCAAACTCAGAGCCTCTTACATGCTAGGCAATCACTGTACCAACTGAGCTGCATCCCCCACTCTAAAGCAGTCATTTAAAAACATTGTTTAATGCTCCAAAAGTGTTTCATGCTGTCATTAAAACAAATCTATCCCAAGGGCTTCATAGTTTTTTTTTTTTTAACCTCGAAGCCCTCTAAAATCATTCTCAAAGTCTGTTGGTTCCCTCAGCTCTTTCTTTTCTCTCTTGAGCAAGTGGGGTTTACACTCCATCTGCAGGCAGCGGTCAGTGAGTTTGGTGTGGACTTTGCCCTTGGACTCCTCAGTCTTCCTGATTAGGAACTAGATCAAAAATTAAACTTAGAGCTTAGAGCAAACTTGGAAATATTTCCCACAGTAATGAAGGTTCAGCTCTGTGGCAGCCGCTGCCATCTCAAACACAAACACAGTGCTTTCAAAGGAGATTTACTTCCTCTGAATCTCTCAGAAACAAGACCACACAGACTAAAACAGCCTTGAGAAGACGTGGGTTGATTAGCTATTAGCCCCAACAATCCTCCCAGCTAAACAGATAACCACATCAGCCGACAGCAGGCCATGTCTCTGCCGGTAATTAACCGGATTGCCAATTTTTTTCTCTTCCTTTTAAAGGGCATGGTTTTGGTGAGCAGACCTGGGTCACTGTTATAGATGATCAAGACAGATTTGTTCTTTGGCTCTGAGACCTCTCCCACTGCTGAGGTCAATCGTCTCTACACTGGCCAGGCATGGTGCTGCACATCTGTAAGTCCAGCACTTGGGAGGCTGAGGCAGTAGGATCTCGAGTTCAAGGCCAGCCTGGGCTATGTTAGGAGATTCTGTCTCAAAAAAGAAAACAGCAATAACCAAGAAACATACTCAGACTTGGGAATCCCAAGAAAAGGGTAACTAAAGCCCTTCCACAGGTGGGGCTGGGCACAGTGACATACCCTATGCGCCTGTCTGTATCCGCAGATGCCAATCTGCAGTCGGGCCTTCCTCTTAGTCCTACATGTGACTTTGACCATGACTGCTGTTCATTATCAGTAATTCCTTCTGTCACTGGTGTGTCCCCCCAGAGTTTTCCAAGGCACTTGGCAAATAAAGGCTGCGAAGAAGACAGGTCCCGAGTCAAAGAGAACAGGCAGGTGGACCCTCGGGAGACACCAGGAAAGGCTGTGCTCCTTGTGGGCTTGGAGTCAGAGTTTGTGTTTTGGTGCTGTTTCTAAAGCCTTCTCATAGGATGAAAGGATCGTCCTCTCATGCTATCAGAGTCCTGAAGGCCCATGTGGAATTCAGTCCTGTGCTTCTGCCTGGAGCAGCACCAGACCTAGGAGAGGAAGTCCAGCAGGGTTGGGACAGTGGGGGTGTCAGTACCTGGAGTCTGTACTTGCCTGCAGGAAGGCAGCCACAGAAAGGTGCAATGTGGCATTCAAATCCCAAACAAGAACTTTGACAATTTCAAGGTGACATGTGGGCTGAGGGAGTGTTTACACCTGACCTGGCACAGGCCGCTGCAGACCTCTGCCTTGGTGTCTCAGGGAGTCAGCTGAGGCTCCATATCTGCCTGAACCATATTCCAGGGCCCAACGTAGCTCTGGTCCCAGTTAGAAAGAGCTGGGAGCTAAGGACAGAAATGCAGACAGATAGGTGGACACTCCGGGGGATGGAAGTGAACTTCAGCTTACCTGAAAGGGCAGTGTGGCAGAGAGAGGTTCCGTGGGTTTAGTTGTCCCCTGCAGGTATCATGCCAGAGGCTGCGGGGAGCTGGTGTGACACAGGCAATGGTCCACACCTGGCTTCCTGTCCTTCCTTCATTAGAGTAGTAGATGCTAAACACACACTGAGAAAAATTCAGAGGTAATTTTATGTCTTGTTAGCTCAGGAATCTGTTCAGAAGGAAGAGGAACAATTTTAAAATGCATTTAAATACCAGGCTGTACTCCTGACAGAAGCTTCTAGAAACAATTGCCTAAGAGGTCTTAGCTTATGAAAACAAGCACTGTGGAAGTGGTGGTGGTCACATGGTCCCACAAAGCCTGGCATCTTCTGTTCCTGTTTCCCACCACATTCTCTTGGATGACCCCAGTTGGATGTCCTCCTGAAGGACCACAAGGAAGTGGTCAGAGAGAACAGCTGCTGCTGTGGCCTCTGAGGAAGAGAAGTATGATGAGGGCCAGATGGAAGGTCTCCGGGGTGGCAAGCTGGTGGGGGGGGGGCCCTCTCCTGTCCCTAGTGTGGGTGTCTCTCCCAGGCCTTGAACTTCAGATGTTGGCTGGAGCTGGTCAAAGTTGGATTCCTATGTAACAGAGGTTTGCTTAAGGGGACAGGTGTTGTTTGCAGGCAGCTTCCTGCACCCGGATGCCTCCCTTGATGGGGTGCTTAGCCCTTCTGGGGTGAAATTTTATTCCATAAACTTGAGGCATCCAAATGTATGGGGATAACAGGGGAGAAATAGGCAAATGTGGCATTTCTTCAAAGTGAGTCTAACTTAAATAGCAAGGATTTCAGCAAAGCTGGGGCAGACTCCAGCAGCTTTCTGAGCGGTTTATATGGGGTTGCAGTTGGTCTAAACAGCATGCACAGAGCTGGAGGAGAGCCTGGTCTTCATGAACTTACTCTTACAGACAGGTGGGTATCAGGTATTTCTGGCACACTGGACTGGGGTAGAGGTGGGACCCCATCTGTTGTGAGTGAATTCTGTCTGCTGAAGTTTTCCTTCGCCTAGGGCCTGGCTCTTGGAGGGAGTGGGGAATTAACAGGGGACAGGCTCCTTTCCCAGGCTGGCTAACCAGCAGTTATTTACCTGGTCTCTGAAGTTCAGCAAGTTACCCCCTCCTGTCCTGCATATCACCATAGTGGAGATTACTCATAGAGTAGAGCCTGTGCCACGCAATCTGGGTACAGTGTTGGCTGCAATGGGGCAAATTGTATGGGGACTGAGTTCTCTCCTTTCTCCAAGACCACAAATGCTATGGACTCTGCAAGACCCACGTGAGACCTGCTCCCCTGAGCCGGAAAAGGGGGCAGGAGACCAAACTTTCCTCTTATTGTCCCGTAAGAAAGAAAGACTCTGTCCTCCCAACCTAAGTTCTGGTGTGGAAGCTGGTCATGCTGCAGAGTGCCCACTTGGCAAGCGTACAGCTGCCGCTGGCATCCATATTTGAGGGCATTTTCGCATATTTGGTGGGTGACAGATCTGTGGGCCTGTCTCTTCTGGATGTACTGGTTTGGAAACATCAATTAACATTTTAGTCCTCATTTAATTAAATGGGATTAAAGTGTTGTAGGAATTTCGTGTCGTGATCTGACATCGACTTTGGCTAGAATTGTAGTGGTTTAGACTGATGAATGTTTCTCATGTTTTCATAGAAATTTGTGGAGTGTGTGTTTTCGGAACTTAGCAAACACATTAATATTTTTCTTTTGATCTGAGACCAGTAGAGCTGTATTTCTTTTGAACAAAATATCTGGCACTGAATTAAAAAAAAAAAAAAAGAAATGAAGGAAGGAAAAGAAAGAAAAGAAAAAGTTGAGTGCCAGGAAACCTTGGAGCTATTTTGAGACTCCTGGGAACAAGATCATAACAGATTCCTGACAAGCTTTCTTGAAGATTTCTAAGACCAAAGCTCCAAGTGAACCAGTTGTGGGGTAGGAGGGAGATGCAGAGCACGGCTCGGTACTCACCCCGACCTCCTTTGTCTGCTGTCCATCAGTCCTGGAATTGCTGACTATAACAAAAGTGAAAACTGGCCTCTTAGAAGCCCGAGGTGCTGGACTTCCAGGGTCACAGACAAACTCCTGATCCCATGACAGGAATGAATGAGTTGTCATTACAGTGAGCTCATGAACCCCAGGAATTCCTCACATCTGAAGGATTTGTCTTAAAATAGTTCTAACATACCCTTACTGACGAGCAGAGAAACTGGTCAGGAGCTCCAACATCTGCCCATTTTCTGTACCCGTCCTGTGAAGACAATTCTATGTGTTCTGGTAAAGGAAACACCAAGGCAGGGTGCAAAGCCTCATGAGGGGCTGTGCTGACGCAGTGGAGCAGCCTGGATGATTCTGCTGGCTTTGCAACGAGGTGTGGGCCTGGCTGCATGCTGCCTACGTAAAAAGCCATCCATGAGAGTTCTGATTGGGGTGAGGGCACAAGTGTGTGTGTACATTTGTACAAGCACATGTACAAGTACATTTGCACTGCACACGTGTGTGCAGTGTGAGCATGAGTGAGGGTGTGCTCAGATGTGTTCCTGAGTGTGGGTGTGTCTGCAACTCTCCTCCATGTCCATCTTTACTGTGCACAAGCACCTTCTTCATAGATATCTTACTTTGCTTTCGATTGCTATGATAAAAACACTGACCAGGCCAGGCGTGGTGGCGCACGCCTTTAATCCCAGCACTTGGGAGGCAGAGGCAGGTGGATCTTTGTGAGTTTGAGGCCAGCCTGGTCTACACAGTGAGTTCCAGGACAGCTGGGGCTATAGAGAGACCCTGTCTCAAAAAGACAAAAACAAAACCACACAAAAAAAACCAAAAACACTGACCAAAGCCAACTTGGGGAGAAAGGGGTTTATTTGGCTTACAGCACAGTCCATCATCAAGGGAAGCCAAGGTAGGAACTCAGGGCAGGAACCTGGAGCACAGGCCATGGAGAAAACTGCTTACTGGCTCGCTCCTTTGGCCTG